ACATGATGATTTATCTCATTATTTTTGACAACTGCAGATTTGCCCTATTTGCCATTAGTGACTATTTTTCTCCATACAAATACAGTTATAATTAATATTCTTGTACATATATCTTTGAATATCTATGCTAGTATTCTATAGTTGAGATTTCTTGAAGTGAGATTACTGGGTCAAAAAGTTTGATAGGTACTACCAAATTAAATTATCCTTCCATCAACAGTGTATAAGGATCCTGATTTATCCCATTCTTGATATCTTAACATCTCTTAACATCAACCAGTATAACATTTGCCAATTCTCTTTTTATATGATACTTAAAAACTGCTAGATTAAGGAGGAGCTAAATTCTGTTTGACATTGAGACTGGTGTCATCTTCAGAGATCAATTACCAGGTTCCCAATANCTGTATGGGATCCGAACCCTCGGCGGGAGCGCCGCTGCACTCCCAAGCGCCGCACTCTACCAAATGCGCCACCGGGCCAGCCCCTTATTTTGGTTTTAATTCACATTTTCCCAATAATAGTAAGGTTGAGTGCCAAGGTTTAATTTGCATTTTCCCAATAATAATATGATTGAGTTCCATTTTATTTATTTTATTTTTTATTTTTATTTTTCTGCTGGCCGATAATAGCAAAATGGTACCAGGGTTCTGATTGAACCTTGGACCGTTTCATATATTTATTAGCTATTTGAATTTCCTCATCCGTGAAGTGGCTATTCAAGTCTTATGCCTCTTTGTTGTATTGCCTGCCTTCCTCTCACTGATCTGCAGAAATTTTTTATATATTCTGAATACTAATCCTTTGTAGGTTCTATGAGTTGCTGATATCATCTCCTACTTAGTAGTTTCTCATTTTATTCTCTGATGATCAAAATTTTTAAATTTTGATGAAGTCAGATTTATTTAATCTTTTACTTTATGGTTTATACATCTTGTATCTTGTTTAAGAAATCCTTCCTTATCCTATGATCATGAATATCTTCTATATTCCCTTACAAATTTGTCTTTCAAATTTAGATCTTTAGATCTCCTGAAATTTATTTTCATGAAGAATGTGAAGTAGGGGTCTCTATGTCTATTTTTTNAAATTCTGTTTGACATTGAGACTGGTGTCATCTTCAGAGATCAATTACCAGGTTCCCAATAACCCCATCTTCCTCCACTCTGATAAGCACTAACGTTCTAGGAATTTGATTAAACCTTTCTGCTATCAGGAGAATCGTATTCTGCTTTTCTTGCTTCTCCTATTTTCCCACAAGTTGACATTGAATAGAAAGGGCTGAGATGTGTGTTTATCCTGGTCTCCATTTCATCTCTCTTGTCTATTCTTAACCACCGATTCCAGAGTGACTCTGGTTTAAGGAAGGTCATTCTCTTGAAACTTACTGGTTTTCTTTGCATTGCCTTTGAAGGGATCACAGGGACACTGCTTTTTTGGCAGCCCGGGCACTGTCATGAGTTTTCTTTTAGGGGCTCTCAGGAACCAATCTGAAATAACAGTGTTGCTGCTTAGATGGGAGGGTTAATATATTTGAGAGTGGGGAGTAGGGAAGGGCTTTACTTGGTATCTTCTGTACCTTCCAGTTCCTCTTTCATACTGCACTGGGGTGGGAAAAGGGGTCAACACAGAACAGTGGAACATGCAGCTATTTGAATACCAGAATGTCTGAGTTGTTTTTCCTGACCTGTGTGGACAAGGATTTGGTGCAGGTCTGGAGGGGGCATGAAGATATCATTGGGTAGTCCAAAGAATAAGGAGTAAGACCTAGGTGTCAGCCTTTTAGTGGCGCTTTACCTTGGGCAAGCCATTTTGCCTCTCTGCTTTTAGTCTGTCCTGTGAGTAAAATAAGGCTGAGAGTAGAATCCAGGAAGCTTTTGGAAGTCCAGGAAAAGCCTTTTGGAAGGCAGCCCTGGGCTCTTTGGGAAAAGGGTAAGGGGGAGGAGTATCTTGAGATTTGGCTGGCTCTCATCCTGGAGGCGCCCAGTTGTTGCCTGAGACTCAGGAAGAAAGCAGGCATTGGTGCTGCGTGCGATGGGCTGGAGGAGAGGGGAATGGGTGAGGTCAGCTGAGATAATATCTTCACTGGCCCAAGGGAGAGAGCTGGGGTCATGGTGGTGCCATTGCTGTTGTTGATGCTGAGTTACTGACCTTTGCACCCACATCCTTGGCCGCCTTCCTGGAGCCACCTCCCAGAAGCCTGGCGTTGGTCCCTATGGCCTCTGGCGACCCCTGTCGGAAGGAAAGAGGTCACTTCCAGACATTGGAAAGGGAAGGAGCCAACAGCATTGTGCTACCTACGTCAGCACAGTTCCATTTTTCCTTTTTTTTTTT